CCCCTTTCCTCCTTTATATACGGGGGCAGGGGCACCCCAAAACACAACAGTTGTTTCTTAGCCGTGTGTGGTGCCCCCCTCCACCGTTTACTCCTCCGGTCATATTGTCGTAGTGCTTAGGCAAAGCCCTGCGCCGATCACATCACCAACACCGTCGCCACGCCGTCGTGCTGACGGAACTCATCGACTCCTTTGTGCCTCTACTAGATCAAGAGTTCGAGGGACGTCATCGAGCTGAACGTGTGCAGAACTTGGAGGTGTCGTACGTTCGGTACTTGATCAGTTGATTCAAGAAGACGTTCGACTACATCAACCGCGTTAAGTTAATGCTTCCGCTTTCAATCTACGAGGGTATGTGGACACACTCTTCCCCTCTCATTGCTATGCATCTCCTAGATAGATCTTGCGTGAGCGTAGGAAATTTTTGAAATTGCATGCTACGTTACCCAACAGTGGCAGCCGAGCCAAGTCTATGCGTAGATGATATGCACGAGTAGAACACAAAGATTTGTGGGTGGTGATCGTCATACTGCTTACCACCAATGTCTTATTTTGATTCGGCGGTATTGTTGGACGAAGTGGCCCGGACCAACCTTACATGACTGCGTTCATGAGACCGGTTCCACCGATAGACATGCAACTAGTTTTGCATAAAGGTGGCTGGCGGGTGTCTGTTTCTCCAACTTTAGTTGAATCAAATTTGACTGCAGACGGTCCTTGTGAAGGTTAAAACGGCAAACTTGATAAATCACCGTTGTTATTTTTTGTGTCGTAGATATGTACGGTTCATGCTAGAAGCCCCTAGCAGCCACATAAAACTTGCAACAAATAAAGTAGAGGACGTCTAACTTGTTTTTGCAAGGCATGTTGTGATATGATATGGTCAAGGCATGATGTGATATAAATTGTTGTATGAGATGATCATGTTTTGTAACAAGTTATCGGCAACTGGCAGGAGCCATATGGTTGTCGCTTTATTGTATGAAATACAAACGCTATGTAATTGCTTTACTTTATCACGAAGTGGTAGCAATAGTCATAGAAGCAATGGTTGGCAAGATGACTACGACCCTACGATGGAGATCAAGGTGTCAAGCCGGTGACGATGGAGATCATGACGTTGCTTCGATGATAGAGATCAAAAGCACAAGATGATGATGGACATATCATATCACATATTTTGATTCCATGTGATGTTTATCTTTTATGCATCTTATTTAGCTTAGTACAGCGGCAGCATTATAAGATGATCCCTCACTAAAATTTCAAGGTATAAGTGTTCTCCCCGAGTATGCACCGTTGCGAAAGTTCTTCATGCTGAGACACCACGTGATGATCGGGTGTAATAGGCTCTATGTTCAAATACAACTGGTGCAAGCCAGTTTTGCACACGCAGAATACTCGGGTTAAACATGAGGAGCCTAGCATATACAGATATGGCCTCGGAACACTGGAGACCGAAAGGTCGAACATGAATCATATAGTAGATATGATCACCATAGTGATGTTCACCATTGAGGACTACTCCATCTCACGTGATGATCAGACATGGTTTAGTTGATTTGGATCACGTATCATTTAGATGACTAGAGGGATGTCTATCTAAGTGGGAGTTCTTAAGTAATATGATTAATTGAACTTAATTTATCATGAACTTAGTCCTGATAGTTTTTTTGCATATCTATGTTTTAGATCAATGGTCCATGGTACCGTTCCTTTGAATTTTAATGCGTTCCTAGAGAAAGCTAAGTTGAAAGATGATGGTAGCAACTACACGGACTGGGTCCGTAACTTGAGGATTATCCTCACTGATGCACAGAAGAATTATGTCCTTGATGCACCAGTAGGTGTACCACCTGCCCCAGCAACTGCAGACATTGTGAATGCCTGGCAGTCGCGTGTTGATGACTACTCGTTTGTTTAGTGTGCCATGCTTTACGGCTTAGAATCGGGACTTCAAAGACGTTTTGAACGTCATGGACCATATGAGATGTTCCAGGAGTTGAAGTTGATATTTTAAGCAAATGCCCGAGTTAAGAGATATGAAGTCTCCAACAAGTTCTATAGCTGCCAGATGGAGGAGAATAGTTCTGTTAGTGAGCACATACTCAGAATGTCTGGGTACAATAATCACTTGACTCACCTAGGAGTTAATTGATACGTCCATTTTACATCATGTTTTCCTACTGTTATTTATGTTGTTTTATTGTATAATAATGCTTTTTGGACTAATTATAATGCCTTTTCTCTCATAATATGCAAGGTATGCACCAAGGGGGAGAATTTCGGCAGCTGGAAATCTGGACCTGAAAAAGCTATGTCAAGCTGCCTAATTTGCACAACTCCAAATGAGTTGAAATTACCAAGGATTTTTTATGGAATATTTAAGAATTATTGGAGCAAATAAGTACCAGAGGGGGGCCATCAGGTGGGCACAACCCACCTGGGCGCGCCAGGAGGCCCAGGCGCGCCCTAGTGGGTGCTGCCCTCCTCGGCCCACCTCCGGTGCCCATCTTCTGGTATATAAGTCATTTTGACCTAGAAATAATCAGAGGAGGACTTTCGGGACGAAGCGCCGCCCCCTCAAGGCGGAACTTGGCCAAGAGCACTTTTGCCCTCCAGCAAAGCGATTCTGCCAGGGGAACTTTCCTCCCGGAGGGGGAAATCATCGTCATCATCATCACCAACAACTCCCCCATCTTGGGGAGGGCTATCTTCATCAACATCTTCAACAGCACCAACCACTACAACAAACCTGTTAATCTATGATGGATTTGCGGTGACGATTTCAGAAACCATCATCAATGGTATTCCATCGATGACGGTTAGCCTAGAACCATCATGGATCATCAAGAGGACGACGACCCCTGAAAACTGGTGATGGTTTTATGACAAATATTTCCTCGCCGTCATAATCCCAATATATAAGTCATCACGAACTTACCAGCGGGCTTTTGTTCTTTCTTTGCTCCAATTTTGAGCGGTCGTTGATTTTTGCCCCTAATGTGACGTGCTCAAGATAGTCCACATTATCAGAATGGTCTTGGCCCAACCAGTCAGGTTGATATGGGATGCAGAGATCTCAGGTTGTTGTATCGGACTCACACGATCAGCTCGCTTTAGACCCAGCCGTCATGATAACACGGGTCACACCTCTTGGACTTGACTATTGCTATTAGACCAACCAGCCCAATGTTATTCTTTTTATCTGCTTAGGGCCCATGCAGCTTGCCCTGTGTTCACGCAACCACAACTGGTGCAAACAATCTCGAAAAATCCCAATTGACGATGTCGCACATTCGTACACAAAGAAACGAGCGAACGTAGTTGGCCGGTTTGTTTAAGTTGTCCGGTTTTAACAACATTTTCGATCTGGCTTTTTACTTTTTTTTGTCTTTTCCCTGTGGCTTTTAATCGGTTTCTGCAGTTTTATTTTCTTGTTTTTTATAATTCGATATATTATTTTTAGTTATTATTTTTCCTTTATTTCCTTCCTTCCTTGTTTCTTTGGAAAAATTGTTTTTTTTATTTTTGTTTCAAATTTGAGAAATGTTCTTGTTTTCAAAAAATTCACAATTTTTTGTTCCAAATATCAAAAAAATGTTTGTGCTCTAAAACATTATCTGCAAATTTCAAAAGTGTTCCCATTTAAACAATAAGTTCATAAATATTTTTAAAATGGAAATTTTCAAAAGTTGTTCGCATTCTCAAAAAATGATCGTAATTTTCAAAAATTATTTCCAGTTTCAAAAATACATAAAAAATGTTCCTAAACTTGTTCACATTTTCAAAAATTGTTCCCGGTTAATTTTTTTGTATTTTTCAGAAAATGTTCAAAATTTGATATACTGTTTGCGCAACCAAGAATATTCTATTTTTCAACAAATTTTGAAATTTTTAAAAATAAGAAAACCACTGCTGCAAGGCGCGGCTACATTTTTTTCCTTTGTTTTTTCTTCCTTCTTTGTTTTTCCAAAAAATCACAAAATTTGATAAATCACAATTTTTGATCGAAATCTGGAAAAGTCGCCGTTTTTTAATTTGTTCGCAATTTTTTGTTAGAAATATGAATACAAATTGTGCTTTAAAAAATTGTTTGCAAATTTCAAAAAAGTTCCCATGTCAAAAATTGTTCGGAAATGGCATTTTCAAAACATGATCCGAATTTTCAAGAAAAAATCCCAGTTTAAAAAATACACAAATAAAAAAATGGTCAGAAATGTTTTAAACTGGCCTTGTTTTCAAAAAATGTTCCCAGTTTAAAAAAATATTTGTATTTTTCAAATAATGTTCATAATTTAATAAAATATTTGTGCTTCCAAGAATATTCCTTTTGCAATTATTTTGAAATTTAAAAAAACAGCTGCTACAATCGTATGGTGCCATGGCGATGCAATCGCTGCAGCCATGCTAAATGGGGCAATAGCTACAGCATGTTAAATGGGCCGGCTCACTCGGGGCAGCTCTGTGCGAAGGAGATCCCATCGATCGCATCCAGCAGACCAAAAGCAGACCAGCACTAACCCTTCAAAAAAAAAGATGACCAGCACTGTGTGCTCCAAACTAGGCTTTTACAAGTATTTATTAGCAATTAAATCTTCAGAAAAATAAGAGACTTGGCTTTCACTAACGAATTTATACACCATGCCATCTATTTTATCATATAAAGTTTATTGACCTATTTTTTATTCATTTCATCCATAATTTGAGATATAAATAATTCATACCAGCCACATGAATAATTTATGTAGAATAATTTATATAGAATAGGAACGCGCTGCAACTAACAATGACAACCAAGGTAACAAAACGCCAAATCTGGATTAATATCAGCCATAGCTCAAATAATTCATAAATCAGCAAAACTTCACCATACATCGTATTCATACCGGCCATGAATTCAAAGAAAGGCTAGCTTAATTTGCTAAATTGCTAGAACACTTGAATCAGGATATACAATCTGCTATAGCATAGACCACACATCAACTAGACCAAAACACCTAAGCACTGCTGGATGCATGATAGTTTTCCTTTATTTCCAACATTTCACCCAGCTTGCGCTTCATCCCAGGTTTAGTCGATGGATCCTCAATAGTGTCATCAGTGGAATGCGCACAGGATGAAGCTGTCGATTTGTTCTCCCCATTACTGTTAATCTGTCCCTCCACAAGAGCAGACCATCCAGATGAAACCATTTTGTCAGGCTCTTTCTCCTCATCAAACTCCTCCCTGCATGGATCACAGAAGAAATGAAGCTATAGTCATTGACAAAGTGCTGAAGTAAAAAAGTGGATAGGAAGAAATACGGTGTTCAGGTCTGGTTTGCCTTACAATAGAGCGACCTGTCAATGTATTTGAGGTATGATATTAAGCATGGAATGTGTGGAAAAAAATACATGATAAAACTAATCTGTATGTGAAAACACTTTATAAAACAACAGCAGTTTCAGTATCATGCTACTACTCTGGGACAGTGGGAAATCATCTGCTAACTTTAATTAGCAGCATTGTATAAAGGTTTTTCAGGCACATTCTAAGCTAGTAAGTAACTAGAATCATCTATGACCGCCTAGTTTTTGTTGTGCAAGAGTCATTCATAACTAATATTCTATAAAGGCTGTTGGAAGGTAAGGGGAACCAAGAAAAATATTATTCGATGCAAACATCCAGCTGAGTTATAGTTTTAGATGACATAACTGGCCCATAAGGCTGGTCGTAATGGGAGTATCATAAGTAGTATCATGCACGCCAACTAAGCAATTTTTTGATGAGGTGGCATAGAATTAAATGAAGAAAGAGAGACTTGAGTATCATATCATGATACCATATCATATTAAATGATGTACTAGTTTGTGTCATGCATGGCAATAAATATAGTCTTATATGATACCAAAATACGATACTCTCCATTACGGATGTAGTATCATACACTAGTATCATATGCATGATACTATTATATAATACTCCCCATTACAACCAGCCTAAGAAGCCAGCGTGTTTTCTAGCAAAGCATTAATACGTGGAAAACACAAATATGAACCTGTGCTTGATGTTAATGTTGCATGACAACTCCTGCCGGAAATCCTCAACAGCAAGCTTTGTGCCATTAATACTGGAGCTGACAGTTCAGTCAAGACCTGTAATAGTTGATCGACAATATGGGAACGCAAGGGCACAGTCCAAAAAGGACAGAAATGGCATTGGAGTGCATTGTTCCATTGGCCCTTGCCTTGAACAGGAAACATTATGAGTCTATGAGGATAGTACATTCTCAAGGTTTGAAGCATAGTTTGCAGCCTCGTCTTCCTCTAAGCCATCACCATCCTCAAAAACAAGTGTAGATCCAATCATTACCAACGAGAGGATCATTCCAAGTTTGCTTTTTATAATCTTGTCGATAACCTCCCTAAGCTTCGTGGCCTTAGTGTTGACATCCAGCAGAAGAGGGGTCTGATGCATTCAGTTTTAGTTTCATGTCAGATACAAAAGAGGAATAACATATAAGAACATGATACCTTGAGACAGCGCAAAATACCTCAGAGCAGACATAGCATGATTTATTAGGTTCAAAAGGTTCTACAGGCATCAGGAGCATCGTCCTTCTAGGATGTTCAAGACAATATGTCATTCTGTAACATGCCAAAAAATGAAGTTACGGAGCTTTACTGTATTGCCGATGAGGAAGGCACAGAAACACGTAAAATAACATATGACATGTAAAAAAAGGATGCCAGAAAACAGGCAACAGCAGCTCTCTTTCCAAATTACCATTTCCAGAAAACAGGTACACTGAACTTTAAACTTCAAGAAGAGTTCGGTGAAGTGGAGGTTGAGGAAATTATCTCGATTCAAGGTGCAATAGTACATATTTTATCAGCAGACAATCTTTCACTAATATGAGCTTCCTATTTCCATTACTTGTCTGGTATGTGCAGAAGTATATTAAATGTAAAAAAATGTTAATTCCAAGCAAGGTAGCCCGAATATGAATACCCAGCACCCCAGAATCATTCTCCTGACATGTTTTGGCATCTTCTATCCTTTTAGAGATGATGCTCAATATAATTAACAATGACATAGTAGTAAATGATTTTTAAATAGTTTGTGATATTTGTAAAATGCATGTGTCGTTTAAGAAACTTCTGAAGGGCTAAAAGAGTACGCACCATCCATAACGACATGAGGACTATTCTTGCTTGGATAGACAATAAATGAGGAATTTAGAAATCTTACAATAGAGAAACCCTTCACTGATATTCTTTCCCTCCTGCAGCAGTGTGGTAATGGTATATGAAACTGGCACATACAACAATATCACACGCACATCACCACATACATCAACTCTCACCTCGAGGAAGATGGCACCAGCGAAGTGCCCAAAATACATAATCCAATCAAGAACCTGCAAATAAAAAGGGGTAGTAATTTCAAGAAGAGCAACAAAAGCCCCTAAAACAGAGCGTGAACATCGGTCATCTGCTCCATTTAGTGTTATGTAAGAACAAATGTAAACATTTATATAAAGCTTCAAGAGACCTACAATGAACCAACAATAAGTAGCCTATATCATCAGAACAAGATGTGGAAATACTTGGGCATGCAGCAGAAATAATGGCCTGATCGGCAGTAGGAGATAATGTCAATACTAGTTTATTGAAATGATTTCAAGTTGCAATAAGTTCAAACATACCAATAGCAGCAAGTTTATTACAAATATATCAAGTTCTAAACAAAAAAAGCACCTCACCCTGAAGTTGCATAGTTACTTCAGAAAACTGTAGCAGCACATATCTTACATCAATTTCAAATCCTATACAGAGATTATCAAACAAACACTCACAGGCAACCATTACAAGAACTGTCGAGGCTCAATTAGGTATAAGGAACACAAAATTTAAGTTTTTTGTTCAGCTAGCATGACCCACTTAAAATGAAGCATCAACGTGCTGCCACTTGATTAGAGGAAACTGAAAAAGCCTTTCAAGAGTGCTACCATCTGTCTAAAGCACACCGAAAGCATGGCAAATGATGAAGGACAGAAGGAGCTTACCTCCATATACTGATCCACAGTAAGATAAGTCCTACAAGCGTTCGGCCGACATATCTCTGTTTTTAAAACAAAAAAATTAATAGTCCACTACAGCCTAAACCCGTGCCTCATATATCATATCATCTATATTTTTTTGATTGAGTTGTGAACAGCCCTTCTTGCAGCAACCTCAGTGCCTTCTTGCCATCTATAGTAATTCTGCACACAACAGAACTAGATGAATGAGGCCCGGAAATAATATGCATTGGTTCATAGTCTTTATTGATTGCACTAACCCAGAATTCCTCCTCCACTTGTTGTACAAGGTTGTCTAACCACCTCTCCCAATATGTAGCGGGATCCTTAGCCATCTCATGCTTTCACGACCATGCAGGCTCCTGCTTGCCTTTATATGTGACTAGTGCAGAGAACCTGTCACGAATTGCCAAGCCAAGTATACCATTCAGCAACAGCATGGGAATAACACTCCACGAGCATCTGCCCTAGAGAAGGCTTGTTCTACAAAATGATTAGTCTTATCCAGCCATTCTGCACTGTAATTGTTTTTGCCCTTATGGCCCGGGTACATCATAGAACTTTATTCTGTCATCGTATAGTTCACAAAAGCACGGCATGGTTTAAAGTTCACAATCACCATCTAACCTGCAACATATCAGAGTTCAATCATGTTTATACCTCATGTGTAAACTTTGCATTCAATAGTCCACTGGTTTTGGTAGAAAAGCAGTAAATAAAAATTGCACACACACAGTAACTTGGTCTTTTGTATTTAGAGAACAAGCATCATCATTGTGGGTCGAAATTGGGAACTTTCCATAAGGCAGCCGTATTGCTAACTAATTAATCTGTTTTAGGATGTAGATTTTACACCCTAGAACCAATTAATTAGTTAACAACTTAACATCTGGTGAAATAGAAAGCTTCCACCGGTCATAGGTAGTACTAGCAAACATTGGTGAAAATCACAGTTAACTGTGGAAAGCAATTAAAATACGTAACAGATTTACAAGACTCGAAAAGATAATCAATGAATCCAGTGCTTGAATAAATCCGACTATAACAAGTACTTAATGTTTAATTCCTGTACAATATAGTTTGAATTAAACACTGAAGAGAAGGAGACTGGAGACATGCATCTTACCTTCCGAAGGAGCTGGAGAAGTTCAGTCAAGGTGTGTTGTGGCTCGCGGGGTTGCATGGACATCGTACTCTTGAGGCCGATGACGTAGAGGAAGATTGGGGACTCGTGTAACGGGCGTGGGTTTTCTTCGCGACTGCCGACGGGGAGGTTAACGACGCGGGAGAGGGGGGAAGTATCCACGAGGAACAGGCGGTCGAGCTGAGCGGGAAGGATAGGTCAAGTGGGGGCGGAGGTACAGGCGACCAGCGAGCTGGGCGGGGATGTGTGCGGCGGTGGGATCTAGGTCTCGGAGGCGGAGGTGGGGGCGGCAAAAGGCAGTCGGGGAGGCGCAGGTAATGGCCGGCAAAGAACTGGATCCGATTGGAGCGCGGTGGTGGAGGAGGCAGCGAGGCTGAGGATTAGGCGGCGGTGGAAGCGCGCTGCTCGCGGCGCGGGGGAAATTTTAGATCTCGGCGGCGGCGGCGGGCGGGCTGGGGGCAGCGGGCAATTTGGATGAAATTTTTATGAATGGTTAGGGCTGCCTATGACCGGTGGGCCACACAGTTGACATTTGTTTTTTTCGAAAACTTTATTCTAGCTTTGGCCAAATATGGTGCGAGCTATGAAAATGGAGTAGCAAAACATACACAAACGCTTTATAATTGTTATATGTAATAACCTAATCTATGTTCATAATTATTGTGGTGGGAATGATCTTACTAATCCTGATTGGGGCTTTACTTACTTATGTGTGGTGTACCCCTCCCAGTTCCTATAGACTTTTTTTAACCCAATAGAACTATCATACCACGATATATTCAAAGTTTTCGTTACTAGGATTTGGCCAATTGTCGTGCATGGACCGGTGTGTTTAAGTGGCGCATGTCGACCATTTAAAGGTGTCTCACTTACTATGGCCCTGTTCGGAATTCCTCCATTCTGCTCCGATATTGCTGACTCCGCAAAGCTGTGAAGCTCGGTTTTAGCCGTTGGTCCGCTCCGGGAGCGCATCCGAGGGAGCGGAGAGGAGCCGGACGCGGCCTATATTTCAAAGCCAAAGGGGATCGAAAATGGGCTGGCGCCAACCACCTCTCCCTCCTTTAACATTTGAGTGTGCTAGCCTCAATAGATGTGATCGACGTGTTGTCTTGTTCTCTTTCTCATGGAGACTTAAATGCGATCTCTCCCTGACATCTATATTCCATTGACATTACACGGGGTTCGAAAGAGAAGGCTTCGTCTATGTAGTCCCTCCCCTTCTCCTTCCTTGTGTAGTCCACCGCATGTGTCTTCATATATGTTACCTTATTGGGTGATATGTGTTATATTATCCCTCCCTCATTCCTCGTGTAGTCCACCGCACGTGTCTTCATGCAGTCTCTAACGGCCATCCAGCGAGCCCTCCCTCACTGTCATCTTTCGTCGGCGAGAGATGATGGTCTATACATTTTGCATGGATCCTCTTAACTCTCCCGTTACGCCGTGGTGGTGGAAGGGATCTGGCTCTAGCGTTCATCCGATCTGGTGTGTCGAGGGGTAATGAAGCTAGCTTTAGTCTTCTTTTGCTATTCAGGCACACAAACATCGACATGTGCCAGTAGAGTTTAACACCCAATATCTTATATATATATGTCTTCAGTGCGCGATGTGGAGTGCTTGTGTTGATCGTTGGTTGCGCGGTTGCCTGGTGCAAATCACCTCCCCATAATTCTTTAGGCTTTGAGCATGGGAGACCCCCAATCACCTCTAGTGCCTTAGGTGTTCCTCCTCGACAAGCTGCTAAGCGTCGTCCTAGGAGGATGCATACCTGGTGCATCTAAAACATTACCGCCGGATAGGAGATCCAATGGTCTCCTACAAAGGTTCCACAGACTGCAAAAAAAACCCTCAAAGAGTTACCTAATTACACGAATGCAGTGAATCTCCTTCGACCATTGGATATGAGATTCTAAGGCTCGTGTGCTCCCGTAGCATGGGAGCATGTAAGCTTCGGGAGCATCTAGGGGCTGTTTGGATTGCATCCATCTCGTGCCTTACCAATATATTGGTGTTGATTGGGAAGCTGCATCATGTTTAGATGGGAACCAAAACTTTGGCAAGCCTACGACTCCCAACCC